TCCCAATCACACTATCATTGTAAACTACAGACACAGTTTTTGTCTTTGGTAACACTGGGGTTTGAACTCAGGGTCTCACACTACCACTTGAGCCACTCCTCCAGTCCTTTGTGTTGAGCAAATTCAAGATAGGGTCTCTCAAACTATTTGCTGGGCTCACTTCAAACTGAGATCTTCCTGAGCTCTGCCTCCCGAGTAGCTAGGATTTCAGATACTTGTTTTTACAAATTGGATTCTTCACTAACATTTTTTTGTGTGTGTGTGGTACCGAGACTTGCACTCAGGGCCTACACACCTTCAGCCACTCCACCAGCCCTTTTTTGTGATGGTGGAGTAGCTAGGACTATAGGCATGAGTCAGCAGTGCCTGGCTTCACCAATATTTTTAAAAACTGGAAAGGGCTGGAAGCATGGCTCAAGTGGTCAAGAACCTATCTAGAAAGCACAAGGCCAAGTTCAAACTCCAGTACTGTCAAAAGCAAAGCCCAGTACTGCCAAAAACACATACCTACATACATGTATATTTCACATACATTATGTACTATACATATTAAAATTGGAAAGGTTTTTGCCAGGTTCAGTGGTACACATCTGTAGTCCTAGCACTCAAGAGTCTGAGACAAGAGGATTAAGACTTTAAGGCTGGGCTGGCAGAGTGGCTCAAGTGGTAGGGTACTTGCCTAGCAAGCATGAGGTCCTGAATTCAAACCCCAGTACCACCAAAGGAAAGAAAAAAAAAAAAAGCCCATTTAAAAAAATAAGAGTTCAAGGTCAGTCTGGGCTATATAGCAAGACCCTGTCTCACAAAACAAAACAAAATCAACAGTAACAAAAAAGAAGGGGTTTTTCCTACATATGTGGGTTTCTAGCTTCTTTGAAAATTGTTAGATTTAATATTCCCTAACATTTAACAAGAGCACAGAGATAAGTAACAACTGTTATCTCTAACAGGGCTCATGGCTCCACTTCCCAGTCCTCACTTATCTTTCTACTTAAGTCCTTATAATAATCAGCATTAAGGGCCAGGCATGGTGAGGCATGCTTGTAATCTCAGCTATGAAGGAGGCAGAGGTATAAGGACCACAGTCTAAGGCCAGCCCCAGACCAAAAAAAGAAAAAGAGTCAAGACCCTACCTAAAAAATAAACTAAAGCAAAAAGGGCTGATGGAGTGGCTCAAGTGGTAAAGCACTGCCTAGCAAGCATGAGATCCTGAGATGAAACCCCAGTACCACCACCTCCAAAAAAAAAAAAAATCATTGTAATTGCAATGATAGCAGTGAACATTTATTGAGGCTTTATTATATGTCAAGTACTACTGTAATCACTTATAGATCATCTTATTTAGGTCCCATAACACCTCCTATTAACTTTATCTCATGGGAGAGGTAAATAAAGCCCAGAGAAGCTAAGTAGCTTGAGCAGAATAAGAGTTAGGATCCAGCCCTGAATAGTCTGATTTCAAAGCCCTAACACTTAGCCACTCAATTCCACCTTACACACTTGAGAAGGGGACGCCTGCTTGACACTGCACCTACATTTTTAAGTGGAACAATCAGGGAGCTCCCTTCTTTAGCCATGTGACTAATATGTAATTCTAACCAGATGGCTAATTCATTTTCTCGGGTCACTCATTCAAAGATTTGACTGCATGCTTTCACATAGGAAGCAGAAGGATACTTACAGTTAACAAAAAGAAGAAAGGAGAAACCCAAGTTTCCTACTCTCTTAAAGCAGACCCTAGCAGAAAATGAAAATTAGCATAAAATCTAGTATAGAGATTTTCATAGTAAGGTGGATGCAGGGGACTCCAAAGGGCTCTCAAGAGTTTTTCAGGGAGTCAGGGAATTCAAAACCATTTTCAGGATACTATTGTTAGGCACTTGGTAACTCACGCTTGTAATCCTAATTACTTGGGAGGCTGAGATCAGAAGGATTGAGGTTTGAGGCCAGCCTTGGTAAAGAGTTCAGGAGACCCCCCCCAATCTCCGAAATAACCATAGCAAAATGGACTGGAGGTGTGGCTCAAGTAGTAGAGCACTGCCTTGCAAGTGCAAAGTCCTGAGTTCAAAAACCAGTCCCATGTAAAAAAAAAAATTTCATGATACTATTTGGAATTTATCTGCTTTTTTCATTCACACTCAAGTTTCCCAGAGCTATGAGACATGTGATATCTCGAAAGGCTGACTGCAAAAGAAGATATTAGAATCCAGATGACAGCAAAAAAGTAAATCAAGCCAGGGGCTCATACCTATAATCCTAGATACTTGGGAGGCTGATTTCAGGAGGGTCACAATTCCAGGCAAGACTGGGCAAAAAAGCTTGAGACCTCATCTCAACAGAAAAAGCTGGGCATAGTAGTAGTGTGTGTCTGTCATCTCAGCTACAGCAGGAAGCATAAGACAGGAGGACTGAAGTCCAGGATGGCCCAGGTAAAAAGCAAGACCCAACCTCAAAAATAACCAGAGCAAAAAGGGATAGAGATGTGACTCAAGATGTAGAACACCTGCCCTAAGCATGAAATCCTGAATTCAAATCCTAGTACCACCAAAAATAATGTACATCAGCTGTGTGTGGTGGTACACATCCATAATTTTAGCTACTCAGGAACCAGAGGTAGAAGGATCATGGTCCAAAGGCCAGCCTAGGCAAAAAGTAGATCTTATCTGAACTACAAACAAAAAGCAAAAAGGCCGGGGGTGTGGCTCAAATGGTAGAGCACCTACCTAGCAAGCACAGGACCTAAGTTCAAACCCCGTTCCCATTTAAAAAAAAAAAAATGTGCAGGGCGCCAGTGGCTCACACCTGTGATTCTAGCTACTCAGAAAGCAGAGATCAGCAGGATCATGGTTTAAAGCCAGCCCACAAATAGTCTGAGAGACCCTATTGCAAAAAAACTTCACAAAGGGCTGGTGGAGTGGCTCAAGGTGTAGGCCCTAAGTTTGAATCTCAGTAGCTCAAAAAAACGTAGATCAATGCCATTCTTCTCAGTAATTTTTTCTGAAATACAATTTTAAATATACATATGTTGAAAATGCTCATATGTAATGAGATTATTGCTAGGGCTGGGGGCATGGCTCAAGTGGTAGAGTGCCTGCCTAGCAAGCACAAGCATTTGAGTTCAAATGTCAGGACCACTAAAAAAAAAGTAGCAAATGAGATTAATGCTGTTTTATTTTTGCAGTGCTGGGGATTGGATCCAGAGCCTCTTGCATGGTAGACAAGCTCTCTATCACTTAGGTACACACCAGCCCTAGTCTGCCATTTTAAGATCAATGAATAGAACTGAAGCTGTAGCTCAGCACTACATCTCCAGCATGACCCAGGGCCCTAGGTTTGAGCCCCAGAACGACAAATAAACAACTAAAATCAGTTAATAGCGATTTTGAAATTTTATTAAACTTTTTTTATTTTTGGTAGTACTGGGGTTTGAACTCAGGGCCTATGCATTTGCTAGGCAGGTGCTCTACCACTTGAGCCATACCCCCAACCCTTTTTGCCTTAGTTATTTTTTTGAACAGGGGCTCACATTTATTCCTGCTTCCCTCCAAGCTAGGATGACAGGTGAGAACCACCATGCCTACCTTTTTATTTTAATTAGTTGAGATGGGGGTCTTGCTAACATTCCCCCACAACAGTACTGGCCACAAACTTGATCCTCTGGATCTCTGACTCCCAAACAGGTGGGATTACAGGCATGAACAACCATACTTTTCAATCAGTTTATTTAACAGATATAGTTTACCTAAATGAAATTTCTCAAGAATCCTCAATAATTTTAAAGTGTGAAGGAATATTAAGATCAAAAGTTTGAGAACTATTGTTCTAAAGAGAAAAAATCCTGTGTACACACATGTAACCAGGTAAGTGTACCTCTAACAGAAAGCAATCCTAGGGGTGGAAATGTAGGTCAGTGGTAAATTGCTTGCCTGGCATGTACAAAGAGCTAACCTTGACCTTGATCCCAGCACTGAAAAAAAAAAAATCAAATAAAAAATCCCAAACTAGTAGCTGACATACTTATTTTCCAATGCCCCCACACTGGCTTACTCAATTCTTTTTTTCTTTTAGTGCTGGGGACTGAGCTCAGGCCCTTGCACTTGCTAGGCAAGCACCCTACCACTGAGTGAAATCCCCAACCCCTCAATCTTTAACTTATTAAATTAACTGCCAGCAGCATTTAAAAATCAGGTTTTTGGGCTTGCATAAGCTCAGCGGTAGAGTGCTTGCCTAGCATGCGCAAAGCCGAGTTTGATCCCAGCACTAAAAAAGAACAGGAAAAAAAAAAATCAGGTTGAGAACTTTAGGAGACTAAAGATTATTTTCCTCTTCTCAAAAAAAAAAAAAAAAATCAGGCTGGGCACCAGTAGCTATTCAGAAGGCAGAGAGATCAGCAGATTCACAATTCAAGGTCAGCCCACACAATAAAAGTGAGACCCTATCTCAAATATACACTATACAACAAAGAAGGGCTGGTGAAGTGGCTCAAGTGGTAGAGCACCTGCCTAGCAAGCGTGAGGCCCTGAGTTCAAACTCCAGTACTTCAGGGAGTTTAAAAAAAAAAAAAAAAGAAGAGGAGGCAGTTTGTTAAAAATAAATTCAAAAGTTCTGGTGGCAACACTGGCCTGGTCTTTCCACTTGGCTTATGTCCATCAGCTGGCATCACTTACACACAGCATGCAATCTGGTTTGCCACAATCCTCATTACTATGGTTCTTGCCCTACCCGTCCTTGTAAGAATCTGAGTTGCTACCTTGAGCCAGGAGGAGACAAGAAACTTTTTTGCAATAAACGTAAATGCCTGCATTCCTCCAAAGAAGCAAGCATGCAATGGTATGTCAACTCTTCTTTTTATCTTTTTTTCCCAAAGAACAACTTGGGTCTCACCACTTGTAGGCTCAAAATAGTTACAAACTGTTCTGACGGGAGGTGGAAAAAAGGGGCAGGGGAGGAGGGGTCTGTGTGACAAAAGAGGTGTCTTTGGGCAAAGGGAGGAAACTCACCAGAAGAGCAAGTCTCCAGGGAACAGGTGGGCCCAGTTTAGACCCCGCTGGGAGGGGATTCAGGTGACAATCTGACTATTTCGTCCTGGAACACTGGGTGGCCATTTCACGCATCCAATTTCTCTTGCCCTGAAAGCAGGGAGTGGAAAGGAAGGGGCAGTCAGAACTTGGGTTCCAAAAGAAATAAGGAAGTAAGTGTGAAATTGGGAGAGGTAAGGTTGGTTTTTTTTTTGTTTTGGTTTTTTTTGGTGGGGGCTGGGGGGAGAAAAAGGAACACTAAACCGGGGGAAAAGCCTTTGTGGGTAAGAGAAACTTTTTTCTTTCCTTTTCCCTCCACTACCCCTGAAAGGGACGAAGGGCGTTTTGCAAGGAAATAAAATTGGAATTAGTGATGAAAAGGTTAATTTTGTTGGAAAACTGGGGAGAGGGAGGATTGAAGAAATAAACATTAAGAGAAACTGAAAGAACTAAGTTGGTTTGTTGTACGTGGAAAAATATTCCAAAAAGGGACTCTAGGTGGAAAGAAAAAATTTTTGCTAGAAAGTGATTTTGAAGGGAGGGGGGGAAAATCCTCAGTGGATTCTTCTTCTTAAAAGCAGAAGAAGCAGCGTAAAATCAAGGAAAATAAGAGAGATTTTTGTTTGCGCTGGAAGATCCTCTAAAGAGACAAACTCGGGTCCCCGAAATAGTCGGGGGCTATGGAGGAGGAAGGGGGGTAGGTTAGCAGAAGGGGATGGCGAATGCAAGGCCGAGATGCAGAAGGTGCGGAGGTCGGGTAGAGCCCCGGCGCGGCGCGAGCTGCGGGGCTGAGAGGGGGCAGTTGGGGCCTGGGAGGGCGGGGTAGGAAAGAAAAGGGGGTGCAGCGGGTCAGGGGCCTCTAAGGAGTCTTCTCCAAGGGAGGAAAGGCCTGCGGGGGTGCAGCGGGGCCTGGTGCTGTTGGGGTGCAGAAAGTGCGTGCGTGACGCAGGGTGAGGAGCGTCCCTCAAAAGGGGCCCCCTAAAAAAGAAACATAGAAACGAATCAGAGTGTAAAAGGGGGAGAAGGGGTTGAAATTACAGGAAGGGATGGGGAAATGGGGGGTAGGGAAAAAGGGCAGGGGGCAAGGGCAGCAGCAACCGGGTTTTACCCGCCCCCGGGGGCTCGCGCGCCGGGCCTCGCACCCGGTGCCTCGCGGGCCTCCCAGCGGCCGCCCGCCAGCCCCACGCCGTCTGCCTGCCCGCCTGCCTGCCTGGCGCGCACGCGCAGGACGTCCCGCCTGGCCCCAAGGGCGCGCGCCTTGACCGCAGCTCGTGCGCCCCTGCGTGCGTGCGTGCGTGCGTGCGTGGAGCTGGCACCGCCCAGAGCAGCCTCGCGCTGCCTGGGCCCCCAGCGCGTGCTGAGCCTAGGAGGCTCTGTGCAGGGGCGGGGCCTCGAGAGGGCGGGGCCTGCTGCTGTCATGCGACTCCGGGCAGGCGGGAAAGGAGGCGGTTGGTCGCCATTTTAGGAGGTGGGCGGTTGCGGGCAGGAGAATGAAGAGACGAAGCTGAGGCAAGGGCGCCAGGGACTGGGGCGGGGAGCCTCGTGGTGAGGCGCTCGGCCATTGTTTCAGGAGCACGGCGTTAGAATGCAGAGCCTGGGCCGCGGGCCACAGTCCACTTCCGCACCCAGGCACCGAATCTCCCTCCCAAATAGTCGGGAATTCAGCCTTAGGCGTTGGACCCTGCGATCTGTAGCAGGTTCCTGGCTGTGGGAGTGGGAACCAGCGTGGGCCTTTAACGTGTCTTACTGGGGTGATGGAAATAGCTTAAATAAAACTAGTCCTGAGCTCAATGCCAGTTCACAAAGAGAAGCAGGGTTTTGGAGGAACCTCAGTAAAGGTTTATTAATTTTGCCAAGCAGTTAAGGATTGCATGAGTTGCTGCCTCAAAAGCTATAGTCCCACTCCCAATAGGTGTGGATGGGTTTTTAAGGGAAAGCCCAGGATTTGGGGCTTCCTGGTGCCTTAGTGGAGGTATGAGTTTCAACCAGATGATGGCTGTAGGTCTGCTTATTCCCCAGTACACTGGTATTAGTCTCTGGAGTTGTGTGTCTTGCTGTCCTGAGTGATCTTTCACGCCTGTGATGACCTTGTCTGGAGCTGAAAAGATACTCTTTTTTTTTTTGGTGGGACTGGGATTTGAACTGAGGGCTTTGCACTTGCAAAGCAGACGCTCTGCTGCTTGAGCCACAACTCCAGTTCATTTTGCTCTGGTTATTTTGAAGACTGGTGGGGGTCTCCTGAACTATTTGCCCCAGCTGGCCTCAAACCTTGATCCTCCTGATCTCTGCCTCCTGCGTAGCTAGGATTACATGTGTGAGCCACCCGTACCTGGCTTGCCTTTCCTTTCTATGGAAAAGGGGAACTGCGGTTGTCTGGTTGCTTCCTGCTGAAGTTGGGTGACGTTTGCTGGTTGGTTGATGGAAGGCATGTACTGTCTTTGCGTCATCTTGGTGGGTCTCACGTGCCCCAAGTGGTTTTGGGTAGGTAGGGTATGTAGCAAAATGCTCAGCACCTGGTCCTATAATCAACACAGTGTCACACCTAAATGGAAGGTAGCTAAGAGAATAGATGTGACACCATTTGGGATTCAGGAAACAAACTGGAAAGCTGCTCTTGTCAATCGAGTACCAATGCCATCTGAAATGATGTGTGCTGCTCCTATGTTTGTCGTAACCAAGTAGTTTCTTGTTTCCATATAAATAGAAACCCTTGGCCAAAGGTACAAGTTTACCTTTTGCATAAAGGTGTCTGGTGGATGGGCTTGCTTTTGTGTCAGGTAACCATGCATAAGAACCCTATCTTCAGCCTCTAGGGTTTAGTTACTTTTGGAAGGGTTGGCACAAACAACTTCAGTTTGATTTTTACAATTGCCCCACCCCCTCTTCAGTAGCTGAAGAATCTTCCCTGAAGGTTTGGTTGTCACTTGTTTCCAGGATGAGATTTGTCCTGATTGGTCTGATGTGGTCCCGTATTGCAGGGAAAGTAACAGACAGCTGGGAATCAGTGTCATTAAGACCCTTTTGGCCATATTAAGCAACTAAGAGGCTTAGGAGTGGCTCTTAGGGTGAGCCTCCCTTGAGTCTGTTTTCAAATTTAAATTTATCCTATAGGCGATATTCTAGCATCTCAAAATACTGTTTTTGTTAGAAGGTGTATTTTTGCAGAGTATCAACAGACAACCAAGTTTTATAAGGAAAATACATAACAAAACCAACAAGAGCAAGTATGTAAAAAAAAAAAAACAAAACTAATTTGTTCAACAAATAAGTACTTGCTAGAGTCTTTTGCCATGAGTCTGACTGCACAGGATCCAGAGAGGGAGCAAAGCGTAGACAGCAAAAAGACTTTAGAACAGCCATAGTCGGAATTTTGAAGAAAGTTTAGCAATGGACAAAATAATCCAGTTACCTCTGTTGCACACAGAATTTTAGGACAATATGATTGGCAGCATTATGTCAGTACCTTCAAGGATTTTTTTAATATCTTCTTAAAGATACATACACATTTTTAGTGTAAACAATGTCGTAAGAGATGGGTGCTGGGGGCTCACACCTGTAATCCTAGCTATTCAGGAGACAGAGATCAGGAAGGTTGTGGTTGGAGGCCAGCCCAGGGAAATAGTTCATGAGACCCTGTCTCAAAACAACCTTTCACAAAAAGGGGCTCATGGAGTGGCTCAAGGTGTAGGCCCTGAGTTCAAACCCTGGTACTGCAAAAAAAAAAATGAACATAAGGAGGGCTGGTGGAGTGGCTCAAGTGGTAGAGTGCCTGCCTAGCAAGCATGAGGCCCTGAGTTCAAATCCCCAGTCCCACACAAAAAAGACATAAAATATATATACATGTATGTATATATATGTATATATAGTATGTATGTATATATGTATGAATATTCATATATAGTGTCAATAATAGTTTATTTTAATATGTAAGCCCCCATTTTGTCTTTTAAGAATAAGTGAAAATCTTTAATATACAGTACAATATACATGTTTACAGATATATACTCTAGGTGACCAATATCTGATCGTTTTAATTATCAGAGTGGAGTACACAGTATTCAGGTGTCTAAGTATCTTCATTTAAAGATAATAGTCATGATACAATTACAATATAATTATAATTACAATTACAATATAAGCCTGCCTGCAAAATGCTAGCATCACTAACAATTTCAATTTAGAGGGCACCAGCTTGGTGCATTTTTGAAGGCTTATAGACTTGGAGAACATAAATACATTTAGCATACAAAGGATCTACATACAATTATCTCCACTACATAGATGTCCTTTATATATTAATTCAACTTCTACTTTTTGTATTTTTATTTTTATTTGATGGCACTGGGGTTTGAACTCAGGGCCTCACACTTGCTAAGCAGCTCTCTTACCACTTGAGGCACTCCATCAGTCCTATTTTTGTGAAGGGTTTTTCAAGAAAGGGTCTCACAAACTGTTTGTCTGGGCTGGCCTCAAACTGCAGTCCTCCTGATCGCTGCCTCCTGAGTAGCTAAGATTACAGGTGGGGGCCACCGGCACCCTGATTAACTTCTACTTTTAAAGCAAAAGTTAGATCCTTTGGCTTTGTAGAGAAACAGGTGTATGCCACTGATGAAAATCAAAGCTTTAGGTTTCTTATAAATTGGACAGTGCCAGTAATTCCAAGTAGCCTTATTTCCTGAAGTACAAGTGCAGCTCATATATAAGACACATTTGGTTAAGACAAAAAGACAGCCAGATTTTAAATAGCAGGACTGCCCAAATGCAGGGTTTTTCCATCTTACTAGTATTAATTACAGACAGCAGACATGCCAGACTTTATTGACTTACTTTAAAAGCCCAGAGCACTTGCTGATCATCTTGTTGTACTAAATTTGAGTACCTTTAACTCTAGAAACTTTTGCAAAACAGATAAGTTTTAGGTTTATATATTTTTAAGTTTTAGGTTTATATATTGAATGTATAAGAACTGCCCAAAATCGTAGTGTATCAACTGCTCATTTAGGGCAGGAGCTTAAGGGCATGTAAGAGGGGTGAACTTGTTCAAAATACACCATACACATCTATGGGATTATCACAGTGAACCCCCTTGTACTATTAATGCATGAGAAATT